CTACTCAACTAAGCCCCTAGCGGCGGCGGCTACTTACAGGTGTTGGTCCAGCCATTGCCTCCTCCTGCAAATTGGCAGCAGTGCGGGAGGAGGTAACCGGTGACCTGACACAGATCATCATAACTACCGACGGGTCTGGGTCAGGTGGCCCCTCACACACCAGTGGAACCGCTGGGGCTTGGCTCTGCTTTCTTCTCTTTACCACCAGCCCTTTAGAGCAGTGGCCCACCAGGAAATTTCCCTGTAAGTTAAATGGCCAGTCCACCCCTGGTATTAACCCCCATCTTTCTTTTCCCTTCTCTCCCAGAGCCTCGTATCAAAGTGGTACTGTGCAAATTGCATTCTTGGTATCTGTACTTCTGAATAGTTTGATTGCTGTCTACTAGGGATTAGCAATTGGTGGACTATTAACCAAATCTAGCCCACGGAGGGATATGGAATGATATGGAAGGAGTTGTGGCCTTGAATACAGATATACGACACTGCCTTATGCCGAATCAGACCACTGATCCATCAAGGTCAGTATTACCTACTCAGATTGGCAGCATCTCTCCAAGGTCTCAGGCAAGAGGCCTTTCACATCACCTAATAACAGGAGGTGCTGGGGACTGACACCTGGGACCTTGTGCATTCAGGGTAGATGCTCTTCCACTGAGCTACAGCTCTACAGTAGAGAGGGCATCCTCATTGCTTACTACCTACTCCTTTGGAGATCCTGGGGCTTGAACCTGGGATCATCTGCATGCCAAGCAGATGTGCTACCACTGAGCCACCCCACCACCCACCTTTACATTCCTTGACTACAGGAACTGCCAGTAGGCTTTTATGCAGTGGAAAGTTTGGGCAGGGTCCTTGATCCACCCAACACTTTTTTGGTCAAAGAGGCCCTCCGGCAAGCCTGGTTGCTCTATACTAGTCAGCTAAGTGCGGCTGCACTGCATGGATAGCTTTGAGAGCATTAGTAATAACAGTAGCCACAGGATGCTTTGCCACAGACATCCAATTCAAGAGATTATTATAAAGGCTCCACAAAGGACTGCCTGGTTTGAATGAAGTCATTATATGGGAGGTAATGTATCGGTGGTCCTGCAAATTTCTAACCATCATCACTGTGTCATCCAGACTTGATTTCTTCAACAGCGGACACTTTTCTGTGCATGTTTTATATAGAATTGCCTACATACCTGACTTGTGTGTTGTATTTGTATAAGCACATTATTCTGAGGGTGGGTTTTTGTTTTGTTTTGCAAATGTTAATGGGACACAGAAGAATTGCCTTGTCGGTTTGGATCTAAGATCCGTCTGTTCAGCATTCTCTTCCCAGAGGTGGCCAGACTTACATCTGGGCACTCACAAGCAGGGCATTGATGTGGCAGTCTCCCCTTCTTGTTGGTCTCCAGCATCTGGTATCGTCTGGTGTCACAGAATGCCCCACTGACCCAATGGGCACCACTCTGCTTTGCTCCCTCTGAGAGATCGAGCAACTCAGCAGCCATCCCAAAGGCATGCCACCCTCTGGAGCGCCCCCAACTCCCCAAGGGGTATACCAGCTAAGGAGGTCAGCAGCAGTGTTCCCTCTGAGCTGAGTTAGTGTGAGCTAGCTCACAGTTTTTTAGTCTTCGGCTCACACATTCTTGTCTTAGCTCAGGAAGGATGGCTCCGGAGCAAACTAATTTATGCAGTAGCTCACGAAGTAGAATTTTTGCTCACAAGACTCCACAGCTTAGAGGGAGCATCGGTCAGCAGTCCAAGCACTCTATCCATGCCACCACGTACAGGTTCCACCTAGTACCTACGTCCAGTGTTGCCTCTAAGCGGTTAGTGTTTACAGAGGACAAACTTCCAGCATTCAAAAGAATAAGAGATTTACTTAAAAGAAAATGTCCACATGTACTTTGCACAGCAACAGCTTGAGCAAGGCGCATAATGTGCATTCCTCTGTCCTTTCTCTAACATACTTTGGCTCTTTAAAAGCAAAGTTACAGCTTTCTGTCTGTTATCCATTACCTTGAGTCTTGTCTGACCTGCCTGCCCTTTTTTAGCTCCATGTGGTAATGGTGGTCATCAAGGTGGAGCTCCTTCTTCTAGATGCAATCAACCAAAATGGACCCCCTTACACACTCCCCTAAAGTCCAGGGAATTTAATTCCTCCATTTCTACCTCCCCAGTCAGTCCTCTTCTTATCTTTCCCAGGAAAAGATACCACCTAGCAGTTGGCATCCTCAAGACTCTGGCCCTTTGTGTGCTGACAGCTTGCTCCAGAGAATCCGAGGAGTCAAGCCTTAAGGGTTGACTTTGCAGTCGCACACATTCCCTCCAGTTTATTTATCTGTGTATTCTGTGTTCATTCTGCATCTACAAGCAAAACCCGCATTTTTAGCTAACTGACTGCTTTGTCTAAGATGAAGAGAAAGGCAAACATCTCTCAAAACCTTTAACTGCAGACCCAATCCCCCCTCCCTCCCTCGTGATGCTGCAAAAAGAAAGGGGGGGGGGAATCCAGGCCCACGCATGCAAGACTGACACATTTGGGAGCAGGGAATCCCCTAGTCTTTTATATTTACTGATTCCTTCTTATGCTCTCTGTGGCTTTTTTAAAGTTTGCCTGAGTGGGAGGACATGTCCTCTTTTGTCTTTGGAGAAGGAGGGAAAGAAAACAGAACAGGGAGGGAGCGTCAACCTAAAGAGAAAGAGAGAGAGGAAATGGGGGAGGGCAGCGGGCAGCACTTAAATACCCATAGAAATAATTCTACTTTACAAAGGATTAGTGATTCCAAAGCAGATGAGAACAAAGTATCACAGCAAAAGGAGTTTTGGTAACTGCGGGGCAACAGTGTGCTGGAAGCGGTCTGAATGCAGATTCCTGTAAAGCAAATGCAGAAACAAGAAAAAGCCCTGACACAAACTGGAAGTGAAAGAGGGAGGGAATGCAGAATGGAAGGATAGGATGAGCTCAGAAACCACGGCAAAATATGGGTGTAGAAAGGGCTTCATGTCACCTCCTAGGTGTTGCATTCCTG